TATATATATATATATTAGAAAAAACATAGTATATTAATTTAAACTTATGTGATGAAGTATTAAATAACATTCATATTTTGTAAATTTAGATTTTATTAACTTAATAAGAATTTTTAATTTAACGATTAGATTGTTAAATTTTAATACATACTGTTAATTATTAGGGAAAATATTAGGAAAAATTCAAGTCCAACATTGAATAGAGATATGAAAATTAAAGAGTATATAAGTGAAAAACAACATTTATCTTACACTTATAAGTCGATTTTATAGAATTGATTTAGGCCTAAACTCACTTTCTAAAGAAATATCAGAACTATCTAGATTCACTCTAGAAAGGTTAGCTACCATTGATCCACATGTCAAGTTTAATAGTGTTGGATATGAAGGAGTATATTGAAAATATTCAAGTCTCGTCTATCTCATATCATTGAAAAAGATCATCCACCATTGCTCCATATACGTAACTCAATAATTTAAGCTTATGTGATAAAGTATTAAATAACATTCACATTTTGTAAATTTTATACAATTTATTTAATAAGAATTTTTAATTTTATGGTTAGATTGCTTAAGTTTAATATATATTATTAATTATTAAGTGAAATATCAGGAAAAAAATTTAGTCTAATATTGGCTATAGATATAACAATTAAAAAATATATAAATGGGAGACAATTTTCATCTTACACTTACAAGTCAGTTTTGTTGAGTAGATGTAGGCCCAAATTCACTTTTTAATATGACATCAGAAGTATCTAGATCCATTATAAATGAGTCATCTACTATTAATCCACATGTCAAGACCAATAATGTTAGATGTGAAGGAGTGTATTGGAAAAACTTAAGTTTTGCGTATTCTAGATCATTAAAAATAGTCATCCACTATTTATTCATGTACCCAATTTAAATAATGTTATATGTGAAAGAATGTATCGGCAAAAACCCAAGGCTTATCAATCCTAAATCATTAAGAAAAAGTCATCTACAATTTTTTCATGTATTAAGCTTAATAGTGGTGAACATGAATGGTGTATTGAAATTCAAGTTCTACATTGACTAGAAATAATATAATTAAAGAATATATAATTAGGAGACGATCCTCACTTTACAAGTTAATTTAATTGAGTAAAACCCAAATTTAATTTCTAAAATGAAATGATTTTACAAAATGTTTATTCTTGAGTAACTTGAATCCACTCACTAGACACACATATATTTATATTTTTGATGCTAGGTCAAGAGGGACTTAGTTTAAACATGTTTTAACTATTACAGGCCTTCCCAAGGGACTCTCCCCTCGCAATTGACATGTCCACAGCCATCCTAAAACTATCAGAAAACGGTGACCTTCAGAGAATTCACGACAAATGGCTAACAAGAACTGCGTGCAGCTCTGAGGGAGCGAAACACGACATAGACCGACTTGAGTTAAAAAGCTTTTGGGGACTGTTCCTACTTAGTGGCATAGCATGCTTCATTGCTCTCCTTTGCTATGTTACAAGAATGGCCTACCGTTTCAGCATACACTCCAATACTAACCTTGAGGGCTCGTCACACTCTACTCGTCTTCGATCCTTCTTTACCTTTGTGAGTGAAAGAGAAGAGGAAGACAACATGAACATTTCAAAGAAAAAACATAACGAGAAGGGTTCTAGCAGAAGGGTGGCACATGAAGATGGATTGCATAGCTCAAGTGTTACTGTCCATATCGCAGAGCATGCCTAAGGCACATGCTGAGTGGAACCAGACAAAATCATGTTTTATAGGTTTGTGAGAGAACTTGTTTAAATATTAATATATTTCTCGTAAAATATTTACTACGACAAAATTTATTTTTACCGACAATTATTTAACGACAATAAGCTAATTGTTTTTATTTTATTATTTAATAAAAATATTAATGACTAATATATAATAGTCACTAAAAATGTATTTATATCACACCAAAATTTATTATTAGCAACAATTATTTATTAAGAAAAATTTTAGTCCCACATCGACTAGAAATAAGATAATTAAAGAGTATATAAATGGATAATAACTCTTATTTTACAAGTTTGTTATGTAGGGTTGAGTTAAACCTATAACTTACTATTCTAAGTTGGTATATGAGATTACTTACTATTATTAAACTTAATAGTCCTTAAACTTGAGGGGACCGACTATTTATAAGATAATTAAAAAAAAAAGGAAATTAAAAAAATATATATAAGTAGAAGACAACCCTCATCTTACAAGTTTCACATCGACTAGAAATAAGGTAATTACTAGAAAGTAAAAAATGTGACAAAAAAAAAATATATAAGTAAAAGACAACCTTCATCTTACAAATTTCACATCGACTAGAAATAAGGTAATTACTAGAAAGTAAAAAATGTGACAAAAAGTTATACATTTTTTTCGACCATTATAAGGGTTTTTACCGGTATTTAGAATAATTGTCGCTAAATATTTTAGCGGCATTGCATACAATGACTAATGTGAAAATGTCGGTAAAAGATTTTATAGCAATTTTTATTGCCACTAAAAGTCATATAAAATGTCACTAAAAATTTATTTTGTTGTAGTGATTATTCTATTCTAATATATATATATATATATAAATAATAATTTATAATATATAATTAATATATATAATAATATACATATAAAAATAGAAACATAACTTCATTTATACATTAAATATTTT